ATGTAGCGTCCCGGGACCCCCTGAAGACGAAAGAAGACACAATACTCGGGCAGAATATATATATTCAGCACGGAGAAGGTGTCTGGGCTATTGGCATGGCCCGAAAGACCAGCCCACCCAGCGAGGTACAAGGGGGCTAATTCGAAGTACAAAAGTGGCGTTTCACCAGAACCGAGGGCTAAACCACTATCGTATTACACAGACGAACGTCCACCGAGAAGGCGACTCAGTGCAAATTTACGGGCAGGTTCCTTTACCTGGAACACACCGCAAATTCCATTACCCATGGAGCAGGGACCCATTTTGGGTGGTGAAGGCACTCTCACCTACAAACTACCTCGTCCTCAACGTACGACTGCGTACACAGCCGGTAAGCGTTTACCATAACAAGACAAGACCATGCAAAGGGTCACCGCCGGTTGGTTACGAAGAGGAGGCTTATGATTGCGGTTCCTCTCCTCCCTAAACGCTGTGCTTATCCTCCCGATCATTTCTCTTTAATAAATATGTCAAAACTAAATCAATTAGGTTGTTCTAAGAACACTAGGAGCAGGGCGGGGATACCGGTGAGTCTTGCCCAGCGAAAGAGCACTTCTTTCTCGGTAGGGAAGTGCGCAGAATCACGGCTTCAAAGAGGTCCCAGTTATAATCTTTTGTAGATTTAAAGGCGTGCGCTTTAAGGGAAAATAAGCTAAATTCATACTGTAGAACTCCCAAAAGCAGGTTTAAAATTTGAATTATAAACTCTAATTTAGGACTATTTGTGGGTTTTCTAAAATATTCTCACTCGAATGACTGCTTAAAACCCATGTGCTCTAAGTTTTGTAGTGTACAACTTATATTTTTAAAGAGACTTTACAGCAACAAATTGACATACTGAATCTTAGATCGCTTTTTAAACTCATTGTTTTGGTAAAGGACCACTGAATGCTCCAGAATTGTATCTCATCTATGCCGTTTATCACGTTGTGCCATGACGGTAGTCAATAGGCTCTTTTCTGGGTCACCAATGATTATATGTCTAATTCTGTCTTCTTTTCTTGTGAGGAATGGATGCGCGACATTGCAAAGTTCTATAGTAGCAATAACTACCTACTCGCGGCAGACGAAAATACGAATAACTGTTTTTCATTGTGTTTCGCAGCTCTTAAACCTAAAATCAATGTCTACAATTTTCGTTTATATGTTTTCCGTTGCGCCTCATACTGAAGTAAGCGCTGTTTGTGAAATCTGGTTATGTCGAATAAGAAGGTAGCTCGTCAGAATATTAGGGTTGCCGTTCGTTGCCGGTTAGTCTGATGGTGCAATATCAGTTTTTCAGACCTTTAAATACACGGGAGCGTAGCATTGGAGATTTTAACATTGTCGAATCATGTAAAGATCAGAGGATCACGTTGAAGGATAAGTCAACTTCGTCCCGGTCATACGCATTTGATCGTGTATTTGGTCCACAATCCAGACAGAAGGATATTTATATGGAAATTGTCGCCCCTACTGTCGTTGAAGTTCTTGAGGGGTATAATTGCACAATATTTGCGTAAATACTTGTTTTGGTGAGCAATTTTTAGCTATGGCCAAACTGGGACAGGAAAGACGTTTACTATGACTGGAGAAAGGTCTGACCCCTTACGATATACTTGGGAAACTGACCCAACTGCTGGGATTGTTCCGAGGGCCTTGAATCAGATATTCTCTACCCTGGATATGATGGTAAACAAAGTACTGTATGGGAAGTTACTTTTAGGGCTGCGATTTCTCTGTGCGTGTCTCTTTTTTGGAACTTTATAACGAGGAACTTTTTGATCTTCTTTCTTCCGGTGAGGATTGTGTGCGGCTGGCTGTGTACGATGATGCAAATAAAAAGGGCTCAGTTCTCGTCAAAGGCCTTCGTGAAGTAGCTGTTCATAACAAAGAGGAGGTATATACAATATTGGAAAGAGGTTTACTGCGGCGGCAAACGGCAAGTACGCAGCTCAATGCGCAGTCGAGCAGATCTCATACGGTGTTCACAGTGACGGTTCATATTAAGGAAGTGTGTCCTGATGACGACGAGGTCTTTTTGAAAATTGGGAAGCTTAATCTTGTCGATCTTGCCGGCAGCGAAAATATTGGTCGATCTGGAGCACTTGATAAACGAGCTAGGGAAGCTGGATCCATTAACCAAAGTCTTCTCACTCTGGGTCGAGTCATCACTTGCCTCGTCGATCACAGTCCCCACATACCTTACCGAGAGAGCAAATTGACCCGACTTCTCCAAGTAGGTTTTGCTTCATAGTTTCAACTAAGTAATCAAGGACTCTCTAGGAGGGAAGACGAAAACTTCCATTATTGCAACAATAGGTCCAGGCAGTTCGTCATTGGAAGAAACGATTTCAACTCTTGACTATGCACACCGAGCGAAAAACATTCAAAATAGGCCAGAAATCAATCAAAAACTGAATAAAAATCAATTGATTAAGGGATACAATGAGGAATTGGAACGTCTGCGTAGGGATCTTGAGGCTGCGCGTTCGAAAAATGGTATTTTTGTTGATGCTGATAATTATCAGGCAATGACTCTTCAACTGACACAGCAGCGTGCACGCATTGAGTAGGTTCACATGAGTATTTGTTTCTCATTCAGTTTTTGTTGCCGTGTTTGCAAGGGGATCGTCGAACTAACATGAGTCCTTGTATATCTTTATTTTAACTCCATTTTAATTACTTTTTCTCTGTCGTATTGTCATCACATCTACCTATTCGTTTTATCCATATTTTCCGTGCAACACTCACCAAATGGATAAGATTGCCACCTCATACCAGGCACACTTGAATTCTAATGCTTCTTTCGGAGTACCCTATTTCTCAATTTCCAGTGATTTAGAAAGTAGGAAGGAAACTCTCGAATCTGATTTGGAGTCTGCAGTCAAGAATTTTGAACTATCACAGCAGGAATTGAGTGAAATTAGAGAGGCCAAAGAAAGTGTGGATGCTGAGTTATGCAGAGCAGCTGAAGAATTGGTGTGTATTACTGCAGTATTATATAATGCAATGTAATGTTTTCGGTCACTAACGTCGATATATTGATTTGCAGAGGTCTGCTATTTACCGCTTGGAAAAGACCGAGAGGCGCTTGCGGGAGGAGACTTATTTGCGCTCAGAGCATCAAAATACTGAGGAAAAGCTCTTCGGACAAGCCAAAGATTTGCTCTCGGTTGCTTCCGTCTACGAGGCTGATTTGAATGGCCTACAACAAAAGATTGATCGTTTTGCATCTCTCGATTTGCAGAACCGCTCCGCTATTAGGACTCTACCTGATATTTGGCTCACTGAAAACCTTAAACAGCCGCTTGATTTAGTCGCCTCACTCAAGGTAAACATTTCATCTGAGCTTGGGAAGCTTGCTGCCGAATTGGGTAAGAAGTTACCATCTCGCTTTTGTTCCAAATCTCATTTGTCATTCGTTTTTTACCGTCTTCAATTCAATTACAGTCAAATTCCGTAGACAAATGAAGGTGTCAAATGAAAATACCCTGAGGGAGGTGAGTCAGCTCTCCTCTACACTGGCTACTATTGTCTCAGCGAATTTGAAACAGTTAGCCGAAATTGTGGAGGACATGGTCAACGATCAGGTTCGAGCAATTACCGATTTCCGCGAAACCGCCATGAATCGAGCACTCAACACGGTCAATAAATTGGGCGCGGAATTGAAGAGCAAGCTCAATGCCATTCACCAGCAACTTCAGGCGGAAGTAATTTACCATTTTTAGTGTTTGGGGGAAAAAAAATTTCATTGCATTTGTGCTTGTGTTTTTTATCACCGCGTAGGATGCTCATATATAAGAATATTGGCGTTTCTGACTTAAAGGCAACATACAATGCCACAAGGTTTTGTGCTGTGCTAGTAGTTTTCCCTGGGCACTTGATGAGACTTTTAGCCTCCGCTTATACCGTGGAGCTGAAAGTCGTTTGTGTTTTCATACCAGCGTTGATGCCGAATCTGGAGGCTCAAGAGGTGTTCGCAGTATTGTAAGGTCGTATACGACTATATCTTTTCATTCTGTTCAAATCCAACGATTTTTACGCGTTCTAACGGAGGCTTTTCCTATTCCATTGATATCACTCCCTCAGGCCCAGGCCCGAGCTGAGGTGTTTGAAGATCTCACAGAGAGAGCTGTTGCTTTCTCCAACTCAGCAGCGGCGTGGGTACGTCTGCATGATATTGAACTGGAAGAAAATCGCAAGATGTGTGCTCAATTGAATGAAAGACGCAAGGCTGAGGAGGCTGAGACTCGTGCTCTCGTTGAGGTCCTGCAAGTGAGTAGCAGTTTTCGTGTTATTTTGGGCTCATGCAGCCCTTATTTTTAATGCTTCTGGATTAAATAATGCTAAATTCACTGACCTTTGTTTTAATAATAAGAAAGCCTTATCCTGTGTCTCCGTTCTCGCTGAGGCTCGCATGGAATCCTATACAAAGGTGCGTGAATACGTTTTCGGCGATTTTATCTCATCTGATTGGAAAGTCTCATAATTATTGATCCTGGTAGTTAAAATAATGTAAATACTAAAATACTAAAGCAAAAAACAGCCAATCAAGATCGTCTTTCACCGACTTAATTTATTCGATTTGTTAAGCGTGAACCTTAATGATGCTAGTGTTTCTTCACAAAAATTCATAAATGGTCAGTGTTATCAGAGGGGATACTTTACGTCTAAAAGAATTTTCCAAAAATTTGCAGGACTGTCATTCGGGGAAACATAAGCGCGTAATTGGATCGCTTCTATTATTTCTTACGATGAAACACAAGACACTGTAAAATAGACAATGTAAAAACATATTTTAAGTTCTGACGGATTAACGTTTTCAGCCGATTATTTTTAATTTTCAAAAATCTTATTGAATAAACCAACTTGCATTTTAATAAAACCATTCTCGTCGCGTTTAATCGGGGTGGCATGTTGTACCCTATCTTCAAGTGACAATTTTGTCCTTGGGTCAGATTGATGAAAGCTTGGCTGCGGAGCGTGACCACATAAAGCTAGTAGCCGACACTGAAAAAGAGCTGCTGACCCGAACCTCCAACGAACTGATCGGTTCCATCTCCTCGGCCAAGGAGGCTCTGGTTGCTTCTGTCGCCAACATTGCCCCCGATGTTGACAGTTGTACAGTGCATCTCTCCTCTCTGAGCAGCAGCATTCAGGATGCTGGAACTGCACTGGACACTCTGGTCGAGGATACCTCACAGGCTGCCAATGAATGCATGTCGTCGGTTGGTGGCATCGGCAAGAAACTCATCGATGGATCCATCCAGTGGCAGTCTCTGGGTTCAGAAATAAAACCTGGTTGTAATGTGGCATCCACGGAATTCTTCATTCACACAGTGGATGAATCCAAAACCCGCCTGAATCAGAATAAAATTGCTGCGAGAGAGTCTTTAACCAAGGTGGATGATGCTGTTTCAGCTGTCAATGATTACATTCCGGAATTTGATAACATATCCACCGCGTTGGTTCCCCGTCTACCTGCACTGTTGTCAGGTCATTTGGCCAAGACCATTCATAGCTATAATCCCACTGGACTGACTCCATTGCGAAAGGATGTGCCCTATCCCAAGAATTTGGCTCGCACTGCACAACACAGCCTGCTTTTGGCGGAGTTCAGACAGGCCCATGGTTTTCCCTCACAAGAGAGTCCGCTAATGGATGTGACAAATATGGTTGAGTGCGGTAGTTCCTCGTGTTTCCTGTTAAATCCTTCATCCTCTTCTCCTACAGTTGATGGTGAAGTTGAAAATGGCTATGCTCGAAAATCAAGCAGCCGTGGTAGCAGTGGGCTGGTGAGTCTATTTACATAATTTCTGTCTTAATTTGAATAGAATTTAAATGTTCACTCCTTGTGCTTTAGGGTACCCTTTCCCCCAAGTCAGGTCGTTTTCAGGTAATTGGCCCTTAGCTTACTTTAAGGCTCCTTTATCTTATTACTACAACATAATCCTGTTTTGTAGAGTCGAACTCTCGTAAGGTATACAATTAATACTGTTTCAGATGTTCGATCGGTCCGTTCCAGACTGCTTTTGCTTTTCATGGCCAGTCTTGATGCAATTAGCCGATTAGGCTTCTCTAGTACTCTCCGGGGTTGGGACTCATGTTGTATTGTTATACAACTTACATTTGCGAATTCGAAGTTTCAAAAGGAATTAGGTGGTTAAAAGACATCCAAATTATGCTTCTTTTGCAGACCTCAGAGGATGATTTGCTTACCAGCGTCTCGGGAGTTGCGACAAAGAAGCGCCACTCGGCCGACGCCCAATCTGGAGCGTCATCAATCAAGGCAGGCTTGACTTAGCATGCGCTTGTATTTTATGTCACTTCATCTCATATTTGTGTATTGAACGTTTGTTGACTATACGATTTTCGTCGGTATTCGTCTTATTTTTCATGACTATGTGGATTAAATGTGGTGGTTGTGCCTCCCCCTACTGATGTATGTAAGTGGTGGTTTGAGTGGGAGTTTGTCTGACTTGCGAGGTGTTGGGTGCCGATTTGATATTGGTGGCAGCAGGATTCCAGTCTATTATAGGGTCCTTTCTTCTCCGCTCGTGCATTCTGCTTCCGCGGGTGTTGTGTTGGGGTGGCAACCTGCCTAGATTGACTTCGAACGAATGTGAGTTTTACGTACTTTCGTGGTGCTGTTTCGTGCCAGCGATGAGAACTTAGATTATTTCCTCTTGTTTCGTCTCTGGAGGATTTGGAGACGGTCGGGTAGACTTTCTACTGTTTAACGAAAAGTAGATGAAGAACGGAGATCAAAACTGGGGAGGGTGAGCTCTTGCTTAATGGGTGCTTGTTTGTCATGGGTAAAGCAACAAAGCTGACGAATTTCGGTTGGGTTGGCTTCAACTTTTTATCGAAAAAGTGCTTTAAACTGAAAATCAAGGTACGGAACTGATCTGTAGTTACCATATGTTAGAAAAAGTCAACTTCAGAAGAATTCCGCTAGTTTACGTATTAAGGTACTGTTTCCATGTGATCTAATGCTCCGCGAAAATAAAAGTCTAGGCTCGGTGTTACGCAAGCACCATGAGACGTTCTTGGTATTCCTTGATAACGTGTTGCGAAATTGTGGCAAAAGTGAGGAGTAACGTTTTGCGGTTGGTGCGCAGCTAACTGGGAGGTGCGTGGGTGGCTCACGCTTTCCCGCTCCACTTGTTGGGGTGCCTAAATGCTTAATGTGCCCCTGCACTGCGAATGCGATATGCCTTACAGCATGTCAAGGCTCCTTACTTCCTAAAGTTGCTCCTGTGGTCGTACACAGACACAGTGGGAGGTATTCGGTGAGGATAATTACTGTCGGATCTGGGCTCGATGTTAAGGTTTTACAGGGTCAGTCCAGCCAAGGTGGCATTGACTGTAATGCGGATGAAGGAGTGAAGTATGAAGTGGAGACGGGAAAGGACCCCATGTCTCAGTTCTCAAAAGAATCCAAATCAACAACATCTGGGCTTTACAAATTTGAGACTAAAATGAACATAAAGTATGGCTAAGTGGATCCGTCGTTTCGACTGAGGATATGTCGGAATGTTTTATGCCTCACCTGTCTCCGTTTTGAAGTAACTTAATGTAGTCCACCATTTCGAGGTTCATTTTAATGTATTCCCTTATCTAAAAGAATTTCTCTGCATCTAAAGCGATGCTCAGTAACCACTTCGTGTCTGGACGATTAGCTATACGCCAAGAGATCCGGTCATCAAATAAGCTTCACTAATCCTTAACTTGGTATCCATTTCAGCAGGAAGTACCAATGAATGTGGGCAAAGTTCGAACATTTTATACCACGAGTACACTGTGAAGGAAATAAACACAATTATATGATTTCAGGAATGGCAGGTCACCTTCTTAATGCTGTGCATAACAATAAGGGGGAAATTGCAAAAAATTACGATCGTGAAATTTGCAGCATATCCCCGATTTTCATAATCACACACGCCTAGGCCTCGATAGACCTTATTAGAGGTGTGGATAAAACTGCATGAAAAATGGAGGATCGGCCACTGACGGAGTTTGATTCCGGCCAGCACAAATAATCACAAATACCATTTAGCCCCATTGCTTTTGCCAGTCTTTAGCACAAATTTCCTTGTTAAACGATTAGTACAATGGGCAACTGTATTTTACAATTGGAGGAACTCACGCTTTTAGGGGCACCAGAGGGTAACAAGACTTGTAGAGATTTAAGAAGCTAATGTACTTGCAACTTATTCAATCATACAGGGCACAGAAACCGAGCAAATGAATTCAATACGTACAAGTACCTGAGCAGCAGGTGTCGAGCTAACACGCCCTCTTCAAACACCAAGATAAATCCGCGCTAGCAGATGCGCAATCACCCGATGGGTAAATATGGCGGTTGAATCCCAAACGTTTCCCGCGCTTTAAATACGGAATGCAACCTCAGTGCGCACCCATCCTGTTATGCTACTTGGAGAAATGGGAGATCAGGAACCACAGGAATCACGTCGCTCAAATACCAGCTACTGATTATACTTTGCCACCAACCAGCGCACCAAACCGGCACGACTCGAGAACCACCACGGCGACGGTACAACCACCCAGCACCCCAAGTGACCACAAACCACGCAAAAAGTCAAGAACTCGCAGTTTCTCCCTTTATTTAAACATTCAAGGTCAGTTTCTTTTTCCGCAACTGAATACGAGCGCCTGGTACATCAACACTGACCAACTATCCGAAAAGATGAAAATGGTCTTACAAACCAAGCAGTACACGCACTGCCGCATACAAACTCAAGGCCAAGCTTGCGAACAGTGCATCATGACCAAGAAAACAACCGAACACTGATTAGTACGACTGAAACAGATCAGTGTCTACAAAGTTGAAAGGCTGGAAATGCTACACGCTGCTGGTATCGCACCGGAGATCTAACCGGAAACGATACAAGACCGATAGTCAGAGCACCATACAAATTATGGGCAAAAGCACCCGTCTGTACAAATGAGGGTAGTATATACAGTGGAAAGGGGGACTTTAACAAAAAATAAACGTCTCGCGGAATAATATACAAGGTATCACGGGAATGAATGACATCGGGAAGCCATCTGAAGATCGATTATACACTAACCGAATAAAAACCAAAATAAGGTAAGCGGGCTATTCGGCGCCATTGTTAAGGGCTTCTCGTTGCTGAAGAACTCTACCATAATAAAGCGCACTCTTCGTTTCCTCATCCATGTTGGCTTCGTCCTGAAATTCTGCTACATAGAGTCTCTTGTCAATCTCTTTAGGAATTGGCTTGATTTCAGTACGTAATTCCCTTTCGATATTTTTCAGCGCATACCTAGACGCAATAAGTCTCAATTTAAACTTACCTGTCCTGAAAAGTAACTAGATTTATAGCTATGCCGAGATGTCCAAATCGACCAGAACGCCCAATTCTATGCAGATATGTTTCAGCATATTTTGGAAAATCAAAATTTATCACGACGTTAACAGTTGGTATATCAATACCACGAGTCAAGAGATCGGTACACACAAGCGTCCTACAAATGCCATTGCGAAAATCATGAAAAACGCGATTCCGGTCCTGTTGGGGCATTCGAGAATGAATGTAAAAACACGAATATCCAAGTTGGGTGATTTTCTTTGCAAGAAGTTCAACGCGCTGAGCAGAACTGCAGAAAATGATCGCTTGACAAATTTGAAGCTTGGAAAACAAAGTATTCAAACAGTGAACCTAAAGCTAATTAGGCCGTAGTAAGCGGTTACCTTGAATTTCTCCTGTACGTACGCATAGTACTCCGTTATGCCCCTGAGTGTTAAGCGTTCCATGAGATTGATTTCGAATGGATTTTTGAGATGTTTTGATATAAACGACTGTACAACCACGGGGTATGTAGCTGAATAGACCAGGAGCTGCCTATTTTTATCAACTTTCTCCAGTATCTTCTCAACAGCATTCTTCAACTCCTCAGACAGCAATTTGTCCGCTTCATCAAGAACAACGGTCTTACAGTAGCTAAGATCCACGAAGCCTCGTGACATTAGATCAATCATGCGTCCCGGTGTTCCGACAACCACATGAATAGTTTGACTCAAACGAATCAGGTCATCTTTCAGATATGTTCCGCCAATCATAAGCATTGTCTTAATGTCCATATGCTTGGCCAATTCGATGCAAATTTGACTAGTTTGAAGTGCTAGCTCACGCGTCGGTACTAATATGCATGCTTGTATCTTATTCAGAGACGGGTCGATCGAATCCAAAATAGGGATGGAATATGCACCAGTTTTACCAGTACCATTTTTGGCACGAGCAATGATATCCCTGCGGGTGAGCGCAACAGGAATACTGGATCTTTGGACTGGAGAGGGGTACTCCCACCCCTTTTCATAAATCCCTTTCAATAAGTTCCGCTTAAGACAAAAGCTGTCAAAGGTACAGCCCTCAGTAGGAGCAACATCAGCAGTCTTTAACCGTGCGTCCCTTTCAGGAAGGTTAAGAGAAGCCTTCCAATTGTCTGCTTCAGAAGCTTGATCACCGTCCTGCATTTGCTGAGGTATTTGAACGAGAAAAGTCGGTTAAGAATTCGCTACCCGCCGGATACTCCAGTTTACTTATTTAAACAAAAATTTGCGTGCACAAAGCACAGATAATGGAGGAGAATTAGAATGAGTTTGAAAAAAGTTAAGTCAGGTGTAACACTGTAAGCATCAAAATGCTATAATTTTTATTTTGTTAATGCGGAGGAACAAGAAGAATCTTTACACTGTATCGTAATTCATCGCGATGATAGAGTAACACGAACTATACTATAACTAATTCATATTCATAAAATAGGTAACAAAATATTTGGCTTAGGTGGTATCCTGTTGGATGCGGATAGTCGATTACCGGGAAAATCTGTCTTACAAAAGACACTTATAGAAATTGCTGAGTTCTGATTCCTTTGCAGGAAACCCTTTTGCTACAACTTAACTTTTATTTCAGTTTCCAAAAAAATTTGCAATGTCCAGTATTTTTATAACGAATAAATATCCATAATTTTACGATCTCTGTGTACTCACGTAAGATCATCTTATTTGGCACGTGGAACATTTGTTCTTAATTATTTGGGAATATATTGTCAAATTGCTAACTTGAAATTTAGAAATGCTCGTCGTTTACAGATTTGCTGGAACCACAATTCTACTATATTCTTCAACTTTTATGATATACTAAAATTCGAGGGTAGGAGTATTTGATATTTATTTTTATAATAGTTACTGCAATACAGTGGTGGTTTATCCGTCGGTATTGTTAAAGCGCCACCTTTAAACTTTTGAATTCGTCTTCATGTACCTCGATGGGTGGGCTGGCCTTCGGGCCATGCCAGTAGCCCAAACACCTTCTCTGTGCTGAATACATACATATATCCTGTAGCGTCCCGGGACTCCCTGAAGACGAAAGAAGACACAATACTCGGGCAGAATACATGTTCAGCGCAGAGAAGGCGTCTGGGCTGTTGGCATGGCCCAAAAGGCCAGCCCACCCAGCGAGGTACATGGGGGCTAACTCAAAGTACAAAGTGGTGCCTCAGCAGTGCCGAGGGATAAACCACTATCCTATTACAATCCTGCCCTAGTAGTGTGTCTTTTTTCAGCTTTAGGGAAGTCTTGGGACGCCACATTACTCCCTCTGAAAAAAGGACAAGCTGGATTTAATGCTAGTTGTGGTACTTCTGGTCGTAAAATGAGTCATGGGGTTTTGCAAAATAGCGGATAAGATGTCATTTCGGTAAGGATTTACCGGGGGGTTATAAGGAGAACATGGTGCAAATCGTTAAACGGGATGATTTTTCTTTTAAATGTCAATGTGAATATGACCTTTTTCTCGCCTTTGCCACTGCGCGGACGGGGGTTTGGAATTCAACCAGGAGACTCAAAGAATGAGGGACGTAAATCGCTTAGTCAGCATGAATACAATTCACCATCCAATATTCAATGACCCATTTTGTCCAAAGTTTTTTTTGTTCCCAGAAATTGTATTAAAACAAAGAAGTATCGCTGGCCTCGTATTACTTATGGTTGGGACTGGCTCAGTAGGGACTCAAGTTTATGCACACAAAATGACTTAAAATTAGGGTTATGCATTTAAATACGAAATGAAAAGTAGTTCACTTTTGTGTCGCCTACAACTTGCAAATTTGTTCCTGTTCCCATGTCGTTTAGCTGTCTACCCGGCATCCAATTAGCTTACAAACGTTAAAAAAGCACTGTATTTATCAATAAGTAAAATATTTGAATACCTCAGGCAAATTTCTAACAAATTATTTCGCCTTTAGGATGGGCTTTGTTTTTAGTGGCATCATTTTTGCAGAATGCAAGGTGTACTCTCCTCCAAGGTCAAGGCATGGATTCAGGGATTAAATAGTTGTATTTTTCTTTTCGGTTTAAGTTCACCTGCTGCCAATAGCCCTGCACTTTAGAACCTTTTTTAAAATGTAGCATTTCTAGCTAGGACAAAATAAAGGGTTTCTTGTTTACCTAGAGGAGAGATGGCCAGCGCCCTATATAGGTCCGCTCCACTGCGCCAAGCAGGAGCACGAACTGCATAAACTGATCTTTTCGGACAAAAAAATGCTAAAAAAAGCAAAGCAGCAGATTATTTAGCAATAAATCTTGTTATTTTTTACGTTCTTGAGACATTGATAACTTATTTGAACTCACTATAAAGGATTGATTCACATTGCCATCTATTACCCTTTTGGTAAAATCGAATCATTTTAATAAGTGTTCTTTTGCACCGACTACTTTAGGTAATCTTTTTTAATCACTAACTTTAGTGATCCTAGATTCCACACTCTTTTGTAATTGTTAATCTTTACTGTCTAGTTACTGCCATTTTTGTAAAGTGGCATACGGGCTAGTTTGGCTGGCTACAATGCGAGCGTGCAGGTGGTAGTTGTGTTCTACGATGAGCACCTACGAAGAAGTTTCAAAGCGAACCTCATTCTTTTGTGACAGCGTTATCCCGCAGTATGTCAACCTGATTTACACGTCTTACCACTATTTGAAAGGGCTGCCTCACCAGATTCCCTCAAGAACAGAGCTGTGGACCTCCTAGTTCACGGTTTTATAAATGCCAATGAAGACTGGAATTCAAGACGTCTTCGATACAATTTGAAGAAATACGGCAATATTAAAGCTGAAAAGCTGGTTTGTATACATGCCTCTCTGCTACATAACTTGACATTCCAAACTAGTTATTTTCACAATGAATTTTTCTAATAGTTTTCACTAGCACCGATGAGAGCCGATTTGTTTGTTGCAAGAGCTCTGAACATTTAGGACTTTCCTGAACGCGGCCTTATATCGTTACTATGCTAAAAATAATTACCAGTGTACTACTTTTGATGAAATGTGCATAATTACTACATTAGGGGAAGTCTTGCAACGACTTCAGCATTTCGCATTCGCAGCCTGATTCTCTTCTGAGATCTTCCCTCCGTCGACAGGTGAGTTCCCCTTAGCCTACTGCTTTAGATGTTTGAGAGTTTGCTCTTATTTTGCTCACTCTAAGGTTGATCTGATGACTCATCTTGGAACTCCTACGCCTTTCTCACCCTCTGGCGTTTCTGCATATCGAAATAGCGCACTTCGGACATTGAGTAACCTGTTCATGGACACTGCTGTTAGGCGTCGCCGGAATCATGACCGAAGTAATGGTGGCTTGGTTCTTCATCGAGTACGCTTCGTCCCATTAAATCATATTAAAACTACTCCATTGTCTCTTAAAGGTTACGTAGTTAAAACTTTAAACTGAACGAATAAATGCAAGCTTTGTTTGGTCGACTAGTTTGGTTTGTTCAAGATTAGCTTTGTTGATTTAGATTGCTTGATAGTGGATACCAACAGAGCTACCGCAAATTATTATTTATTCAAGGCCTCAATAAAATCAAATCTCTGTCCGATTCATTAGGCCATAAATCGTGTGAAGGTGGCTGAATTGCAAGATATTCTACTGTAGCACAACATATTACATCACCACCTTATTTATCAATGAAGCATGCGTTACGTCTGGAAAATAGTGGTGCTGCTTTGGGGTTTGTTGGTGGGTGTCAACACCACGTTGTACAACTTACAACAGCTGCAGCTAAATTATTCAGTTATTTGTCATTTCTCTATTCACTGGTCATAAAATCTTACAGTACGTTGTTTAAGGAAGTTGCACATTTTACTTTGTAAACAGATGTCTGGATTTGAGCCGACTGTTTTGAAATTACCCGCCGGTACAATCGTTTCTTCTCCTCTCTCGAATGAAATTCTGATGTCTGATACGACTTGGCGAGCCTCACATGCAGCACCCGAACATCACGATCGGAACCTCGAGGTTCTTAATAACCAGGAATCACAGCGCACACCTTTGTCTCATGGTACAGCTTTGCGTTCTGCACCGGTAAAAGGTGGTGCAACTTCAAGAGATTTCAGATCTCACAGCTGCATTGAATTACATTCATATTCACTAAAAACCCTTTCCAGAGGACCCTTGGATTTACCAGTCAGTGGACGGCGTATATTCTTCCCTTCAACCTCCACGTCACAGCTCTCCAAGACTCCTGATCAAACTGATGGCTTTGGTGACATGCTAGTGGACTTTGCAGTTAAGCAGACTCATAAATCGAAAGATGTGGCTGCTTTGGATGCACAGATCGCTTCTCACCTCGAAACTAAAATCTCGGGTGTATCAGCTGCCCCCCGTCTTTCTATGGTTCGCCCTCCTCCCCTCAATCTTGGTCCCACATTAGCCTTTACTGAATCACGAGGTACTGATTATGGTGCCAATTTGGACGTCAGAGGGTCATCCTCATCCCCAGACAATCAGAGTTCCCATCCCCTCAAGCATCCTTCTGCAAAACACGCGGGGCCTGATGCTGGCACTCCATACATCATTCGTCCTCGTGTCCATCGTGGTGAAAACTCTTCGACACCCATGTCTCCTTTGACACCATTGATCTTGTTAAAACCTGACCACCATAATAGCAGCAAATTGTTAGGTCGATATAGGCAAAGTGAGCCATTTCGATTCTTGAGTCATTTCTTCCGAAGGTCGAAACCGACGGATGAAATTTACCGTCAGGTGGATGACAGCATGCTGGATTATCGGTGAGATATATATATATATATAACAATGTATGCATATACGCATGTTAAATATACACCGTCAAACTTTATCATATTCTGGATTTATGACGCATGCATAGATGCTATGGATTCACCTGTGTAAACCATGGCTTTGGAATTACGACCGTGCTTATTGTGCAGATCACCCTGTGTCAATGTTGGTATGTGAAGATAGGTTCCACTGCATGTTTTTTACGTAGTTTTCTCGAATGATGTCCTACTTCAATGTTATTCGCGCTATTTTATATTTTCTTTCTCATTCGGAAATTGACCAAATCTTGTACATATTTATCTGCCCCTAAAAGCGACAATTGAAACTGGCATATCGGTTTTAGTAAACTTTGATTATTAGGCTTTAACCCTTAATGAAACGCTTGGCAATTTCATCAACATTTAGAAAGCGATGGAAGGCCCTGCAGCATCACCCATGGCAAGTAGCTTGCATTGTGATCTTATGCTCTCTCTTGCAACAGGCCTTACTTCACCTACATGTTGTGTTTCATTCACCTCCTGGTGATGATATTCGCCTGCGTTGGATATGGTTTTGCACCGATCGGCATCAACCTGGAGCGCACAGTGAACAAACAAGTGATGATGCCCTCTCTGGACATTGAGAACGTGTGCAGAGTGCAGGACGAGAATATTTGGATTGGACCACAACAGGCTGACCTCATCCGCATGGGTGCCCTTTTCTCGCCCTGCATGCGTGTTGACGACACTCTCAATAGGGTGGTTGTGGAGGCGCAAAAAAATTGGGACCGAAGGTATTTTTCGTTGTGGAGGTCATCTAGTTGTCTTCCTCTTTCTGATCGCACTATTATATGCCCTCGGTAGATTTTTCTGCGTTTAAGGAAGAGACAAAACATACGCATCCATTATTTGAAAGCATTTCAATGACCATGATGTGGTCATGGGCTTCAGATGTTATCGCCTTGGAAGTACTGTATCTTAAATATGACACTTGAAATAGAAAATCTATACGAAAAATGAAACGTCGGTGCATATTTGGAGGGTAATATAAACGCTGGATATCCTCTTTTTTTTAATGCGCATCTGTAAAATAATTCATTTTTGTTTGGTTAAACTAATACCTATAGAAGCGGTTGTTGCGTCAACATGAGGGACGGCACCTGCTACCAGTCAAGCCGTCTTTTTTGCTCTCGGAGTACTTCCACATGGTTGCATTACTCGGACAATCATGACCTACTAGTGGCTGAGGCGCTGCTTGATCCACAAATGGAGAGTCTCACCTCTCAATCCGACTTCGCAAATTTTGGATCCACCACTCGACCGTCCATTGGACCCGTATGCGGACTGGATCCCGAGTTTTGTGCCGAGCCGCGCTCCACTGGACCGTTCACCTGGTCCTCTACCGATGTCACTGAATGGCCCGTACGTGCGGAAATGTGTACGTATTAAATGCACATGCGCTCTCCAATCATTAACTAATTTGTGCAGCACCCAAAGATGCGTCACTCAGCTACTCGTGAGCTCTGTGCAAGACCCACGAGCTTGGAAGCGGTCCCACCCTAGATGATGTGAGCGAACCGCTAGGACATCCGGTTTTTCAGATATGCTATTAAGCAAGGACCTTTTTATTACATTAGTGTCTACCTTCTTTTTGGGGTTTTCGAGGCTCTTATTGATGTCTTCTATTTCAGTTTTTGTAGCATTGTCAGCAGTTCTTTGGGGAGGGTTTTATTTGGTTCCAAACCTCACTCTTACTCCGTTGCTTACAGTAATGCAGAACTCGAAGTAAGTGCTTTTTCCTATTTAACGCTTTGGTGTAGTATTTAGCCAGTGAGAGCGGGATCGCCTTTCAC